GGTACTCAAATGAAAGGTCTTGATGAGTGTAATCTCGGGATGAGCTTATATCTTCAAAAATGTCATTTCTTGACAAGATAGCAATGTCAGTTCTTAATTATTGATATTTTTAAATATATAAGCTCATCTTGATGTTACACTTATCAAGAGCTTTCATTCGAGTACCTGCTTGCATTTTTGATATATTTTTCATATATATATATATATATATAAAATATATAAAAAATTGATGTGGGTACTTAAATGAAAGGTCTCGATGAGTATAACATGAAGATGAGCTTATATTTTTAAAAATGTCAATAGTTGACAAGATACAAGGTCATTTCTTAATTATTAATATTTTTAAAGGTGTTAACTCATCTTAAAATAGATTATTTTTTCAGATTTCAACACAATAAAAATATTTTTTCCAGAAGTTATTTTTGCACTATCAATTAATTGATAACAAATAACAAGTGCACGGGACATGACTCGGGTTTTTACAGTCGTTAAATTTCAAAAAAACAAACCAATTAAATTCTTAAAAATATATATATATATTTATATATTGCGTCAGTAGTTATCCAAAAGTTGATAATCCAACAGCTAATTTTATTTTTTCTCTTCAAAAATGAATTTCCAAGGACTATTTGTCCTTATTATTCTCCAACTATACCAGGTAAGATTCTAAATTAAATTAATAAATACTCCTTAAATATTTCTAAAAAAAATTTCAAATTTCAGGATACTGTAGTATCTGCCTTCGACAGAGATGCCATAGAAACTTACTTACGCGAAAAAGAAACAGTTATGAAAGCAACGAACGAAGTCGACCCGGGAATCCAGATATTGTTGCAAAATTTCAGGACCAAGATTATCAATGACGTCAAAGAGCAACTGGAGACTTCAAGCAAAGATATGAAGAGTTATCAAAAGCGTTCGTTGATAGCCACCTCGGAATACCTTGCAAAAGTAGTAGCAGATGAGATAAATCCAATTAAAAAGCTTCTTATTTCCTTGAACGATGTGAAAAATATTTTCCACGAGGAATTGACGGTTAAGATGAGAAGCAGCATCATGGATGAGCTTAAGGCTTTCCAGAGGATGGAATTGGAGTCGTTGGTGTTACAATTCAAGAATGAAATCATTGAATCCTTCCAAGCTGAATTTGTTGATGTGAAAACTAGCTTGCAACTTGAAGGAGCTGCAGTGCGCGATTTGGTTGCTAATCAATCGAAGGATCAATCTGAAAGAAGCTTGATCAATCAGCAAGCTGATGCTAGGATGAAAGAGCTGGAAGAAAAGTGCGAAATTAAACGGTTGGTTGAAACAGCTGCTCAATTAGCGGGTGCTAATAGTCAAGCTGTTGATCAAAAATTGAAGAATCTGGATGAGGGGATTCAAAATTTGACTCTAGCCCATCATAGTTTGGCGCAGGCAAAGCCCAGGTCATTCAGAATTGATCATGAAAATGAACTGGTTCAACGGCTGGAGCAGAAAATTGACAAATTGAAGCCAAATGCGTCTTGTGAATTGACACCAATGTTAGAATTGATAAAAACCAGCGTTGAAACATTAAAAAATGATCGGGATGCAAGATCAAATCAACTGATTACTAAATTGGTGGACAGGATTGGGCGCCTGCTGACGGTAAAATTGAAATCTAGGACTACGTCTTGTGAATTGTCCAGTTCTGCGAAATCAACTCTGGCTGCGATAAAAGCTGCGACTGATACTTTGGTAAAAACTGCAGCTACGTCTGATAAAGAAAATAAATTGGAAGAAAAGTTTAAGGCATTATTGACCGAGCTTAATGCTAATACAACCGTTGGATTCGATGAAGTGAAAAGCAAGCTGAATGCCATTACAAATACAGCCAGTAGTTCTGATAAAAGTTGCAGGGAGATTAAGAGTACATTGGCTAGTGAATTGGACAAGTTTTCGAGAAAGCAAGTTACGAGTATTAAAACTGCTATTGGTGATGTCTTGGCGAATGTTTCGAAGAGTGAGGAACCGAAGTTGGAAGGAGAAGATGGGGGTAAGTCGATGGAGATGAGCAAGCTTGAAGATATTGAAATATTGGTTAAAGAAGCTAACGATAAAGTTAAAATAGAATTGGGGGAGGTTAAAGGTAGGATTTTGAAGGCTTTTAATGAGACCATTGTTGATAGGCTTACTGCGGATGGTAAGGGTTGTATAGAAGCTCGGGGTTTAACGGGAGGAGATGATACGGGACGTTCGGGAGGAGATGATACGGAACATACTGGAGGTGATATGGAACATACTGGAGATGATACGGAACATACTGGAGGTGATATGGAACATACTGGAGATGATACGGAACATACTGGAGGTGATATGGAACATACTGGAGATGATACGGAACATACTGGAGGTGATATGGAACATACTGGAGATGATACGGAACATACTGGAGGTGATATGGAACATACTGGAGATGATACGGAACATACTGGAGGTGATATGGAACATACTGGAGATGATACGGAACATACTGGAGGTGATATGGAACATACTGGAGATGATACGGAACATACTGGAGGTGATATGGAACATACTGGAGATGATACGGAACATACTGGAGGTGATATGGAACATACTGGAGATGATACGGAACATACTGGAGGTGATATGGAACATACTGGAGATGATACGGAACATACTGGAGGTGATATGGAACATACTGGAGATGATACGGAACATACTGGAGGTGATATGGAACATACTGGAGATGATACGGAACATACTGGAGGTGATATGGAACATACTGGAGATGATACGGAACATACTGGAGGTGATATGGAACATACTGGAGATGATACGGAACATACTGGAGGTGATATGGAACATACTGGAGATGATACGGAACATACTGGAGGTGATATGGAACATACTGGAGATGATACGGAACATACTGGAGGTGATATGGAACATACTGGAGATGATACGGAACATTCTGTAGGAGATGATACGGAACATTCAGGAGGAGACGATACAGAACATTCAGGAGATGATGATAAAGACAATGCTGGAGGAAACGATACGGAACATTCAGGAGGAGACGATACGGAACATACTGGAGGTGATGATACGGAACATTCAGGAGATGATTCTGAAGAACATTAATAAAGAGATGGAAATTATCCGACAGAAATGATTCCGGAAAATAGTGTTTAAAGCTAAAAAGTTAACTTAAATACTACTAATAATTTTAACATTACAATAACATTAAATTGATATTAATATTCAAGTTCTCGTCCATATTTTAAAATATTTAAATGACTCAATCTTGGGAATTTGGACAATAAATGGAGATGTTAAATTGTAGGAATTGCAACGTTTCGCTGATTTATTTCAGCTTCATCGGGCAAACTAAAAATAAAAATTATTTTTAGTTAATATAAATAATTAAAATGATCTAACCTATGAGTCAGTTGTAAACACTAACAAGTTGTCAATATTGTAATTTAAAAAGATGTTTGAGATTATGAATATGCTGTTTTACTCTATTTATTGTCCAAATTCTCAAGATTTAGTCATTTAAATATATTAAATTGATATGTCCTGATTAGGTCTAATATTTAATTTTCACATTAGACCACATAATTTAATTTTTTTCTCTCGATAATATAAAAATACAATATAACTGAAAAAATATTTTTATCCGTTAGCAATTGTAATGTGTCAACAATAAAAAATAATTCATAAATGATCAAAGTCGTCATACAATAATTGAAGCATTTATAGTACTTATATTGAAATGAAAAAGTAAGAGAATGTTATTCTGGTTGCACCTGTCACCTAACCTCACTTCCTCATATCTGAATTGAGATTCATGAATAAGTTGCACAGCCCATATCCACTTTTAGCGACAAATAAAATATTTTAAGAGGGAATGTCAACATTAAATTCAATAGCTTGTACGTCGAGTCATTGTGTCCTCTATATTGTGTATATTATAAATATATGAAAGAGATTGAAATTGTATGAGGCACATTTAACTCTTCATACAACCGATTTCGCTCTTTACTCTCGAGTTGAGAGTGAAAAAGAGTGGGGAGGGGAAAAGGAAGAGGAAGAAAAGATTAAAGACTCGGAATCGGAATTTAGGTCAGACCACTATCCGCAACACCAGATGCTAGCTGCCATTTATCCATTTCTCAGCGTCTTTATCTTTCATTATTCCTCGAGTCTGTTTTTTTTTTTTTTTTTTTGTTATCAAATGAAACAATTGCTTTTTAATTCCTTCGAGCGCAATAAATATTTTTATCTTTAAATTGGTTTTTTCAAGACCACAAGTTATTTATTATATTTACGTATTTATAATTCCAGAAAAAAAAGAATGTGAATGGTGACACAGATTAATAAAAAAAAAAAAAAAAAAAACAAAGTAGTTGATAGTTAAAAATTGTGCAGATCGATTGGGTGTTATGAGGTAGAGATAGGGATGCCTTAGTACAACATTTATGTAGGGAGTGTTGCTGTTTCTGAGTACTTGAATAATGTTTACTTTGTACATGAATGTTGTAAGCATAAGCATCATGAAAATGTTAGCGTTTGGGAGATACACACTGAGGATTCCCATTGAGAGGAGTGCCTCCTTGAAAGCTCCTGTATTCCAAAGTCTAGACGCTCTAGTGGAACGATGAAACCTGCTGAAACTCTACTATTTCCACCCACGAACCCACGAACCCACCAACCAACCTACCAACTCCTATTTCAGCTTAACTACTCTTACACACACATACACGTCTATTATTTATGTATTATAAATCTCCCGCAATCACTCTCAGCTCTGTTAATTGAATCGCTAATTAACTGCATTATCTACTGGGGTTAGATCAATGGGTCTTTTGGAACAAATTATAGTTTTTTTATTATTAAGGTACAGGCAAAGGAAGATTTTTAAGAAAATCTAGAATATTGTATTTAATTATCGGAATGTATCAATAACCTTTATTTCAATACATTTAAATTGAGTAATGGTGATTTTCACCATAAACAAACTAAACTTTTACAAAAACCAGAATATGCGTTATTTTAGGTGGGGTAATAAGGCCCAAGGGGTAAACATACTGGAAATAGTTAAACTGTACTTAATAAAATAGCTATTAGAGATTAATCATCACTTAAATTTACCAACAAAAGGTTTTGAAGATTAAGATAAACATTAAAAGGATCATTTTAAATAATAAAATGTAAAATAATAAACAAATGCTTACCATTTACTCAAATCCTTTTTTATAAATTGTTCAGCGGTACGCATTAGCATATTTAGGATGATTAAATCTACAAGACAGGGAACGTCCTATCGGGACTCTATAAACTTGTTAAGACATTTCTATCCAAGACACTTCTACTAGAGTAGCCTTTAGCAAAAGCCGTTATTTTAAATATCATTTCTGTCACTTGGGCCTTATTACCCTCAAGTACCTTAATCAAACAAACTAAATATTTTTTATTTTTCAGATCATTTAACTTTCATTTATATTATTTAATAATTAATAATTCATTTATTTAGTTGCCGATATGGTCAATAAAAAAAATGAAAAATTATTGTATAGTCACTATAAAAATATCCAACAATTCTTCAAATATTAATTTTAGCACTTTAATAATTTAATAATTATTATTCAATTTAATAATTCAATAATTCATTTATTTAGTCGCCGATATGGTCAATAAAAAAAATGAAAAATTATTGTATAGTCACTTTAAAAATATCTAAAATTTTTCAAATATTAATTTGAGCACATTAATAATTTAATAATTATAATAATTATTATACAATTTAATAATTCATTTATTTAGTTGCCGATATGGTCAATAAAAAAAATAATTATTGTACATATAGTCATCATAAAAATATCCAAAATCCGTAAAATATTAATTTAAGCACTTTAATAATTTAATAATTATTATTCAATTTAATAATTCAATAATTCATTTATTTAGTCGCCGATATGGTCAATAAAAAAAATGAAAAATTATTGTATAGTCACTATAAAAATATACAAAATTCTTAAAATATTAATTCTGGCACTTTAATAATTTAATAATTCATTTATTTTGTTGCCGATATGGTCAATAAAAAAAATAATTATTGTA